TGAGATCTGAGGATCGCGGTTCAAAGCCAGACCGGGCAGGAGAGACCGTGAGACTCCTATCTCCAATAAACCACCAGAAAACTGGAAGTGGCGCTGTACCTCAAGTGGTAGAGCGCTCGCCTTGAGCTGAAAAGCTGAGGGACAGCACAGCGCCCAAGCCCAGAGTTCAAGCCCCACGACCGACCAAAAAAAAAAAAAAAAAGTAAAAATGCTTATGGAATAATGAGTGGAAGTGGAAGGATTTTTGAGAACTCAACCTAAAGAAATTAAAATGACTTGATCAAGATTTTATAGATAGATAATGAATAAGTCAGGAACTGGAGGCACACACCTGACTCCCTAGCTACTTAGGCTGTGATGTGAGGATCGTGGTTCAGAGCCAGCTAGCTACTTAGGCTGTGATGTGAGGATCGTGGTTCAGAGCCAGCAGCATTGGGGTTTGAGAATGTGGCTTAGTGGTAAAGTGCTTGCCTAACCTTCATGAAGCTGTGGGTTCGATTCCTCAGTACCATATAAACAAAAAAAAAGGAAATGACACTGTGGCTCAAAGTGATAGAGTGCTAGCCTTGAGTAAAAGCAGCTCAGGGACAGTGCCCAGGACCTGAGTTCAAGCCCCAGGGCTGGCAAACAAACAAAAAGCCAGCATGGACAGACAAATAAGAGATTCTTATTCCCAATTTTCAAACAAAGCCAGAAGTGAAAGTTTGGCTCAAGTGGTGGAGTGCAACCTTGAGTGAAAAGCCAAGTAAGAGCTGGAAGCACTAAATTCAAGCCTAGTTTAAGTAATACATACATGCTCTGAATTTGTCCCCTAACCTCTTGATCTCACCTGATTGTTTTTGTTTGATATCATCTGAATCTATAAACATTAAGTAAAAGTATGAGAGTTTTAAGTATTTACAAAACATGTGTAGAATGACAGTTCATTTTAAGGTTCTCTTGCTTTTTTTTAAAGCTTATTTTTAAGGTGCAATGAAAGCTGTCCATGTTTTCTGTATTGCCCTTTTGGTGTTTGGGAGTGCCTCTGAAGCCAAGTTTGATGATTTTGAGGATGAGGAAGACATAGTAGAATATGATGATAATGACTTCGCTGAATTTGAGGATGTCATGGAAGATTCTGTCACAGAATCTCCTCAGAGGGTGATAAACACTGAAGATGATGAAGATGAGACCACTGTGGAGTTGGAAGGACAGGATGAAAACCAAGAAGGTGATTTTGAAGATTCAGATACCCAGGTAGAGTTCTTTTTTTTATTGAGAGATAAATCTTGAGAGATTTAAGGGATGGGAAAATTTGTGATTAGCAATTTCCCCAAAATATTAGAAGTATGACTCAGTTAATAGACCTTTACTTTCTCTAGAATCTTCATGGTTTGTATAGTAGGTAGCACTCTTTATGAATGTTTAGTGGTATGTTCCCATCTTTTGCATTAATAAAGTGAAGAATTGTGTGTTTGTCCTGTAGCATTCTTGGAAGGAGGGAATAGATAATATATGTGTGTATAAAATTGTGTCATTTAGGACTTTGGGTTGAAAAGTATGGTGAGTCATCCTTTTAGTGTTTTGAGGCTTTGTCTCAGCTTTATTGAAGTATAAGTGACAGGCTTGAAATGTGACTTTTTGACTGAGTGCTTGCCTAACATGTATGAAGCCCTGAGTTCAATTTCATAGTACAACATGAACAGAAAAAGCTGGAAGTGGTGCTCTGGCCCAAGAGTACTAGCTTTAAGCAAAAGAAGTTCAGGGACAATGCCCAAAGACTGGCAAATAAGTAAATAAATAAAGTAACAAGAACTGTTTCTGTTTTTTGTTGTTTTTTTTTTTTTTGAGATAAGGTCAGAAGCATAATGTTTTAATATGTTTATGCATTGTGAAGTGACTACTATGATCAAGCTAATTAGCATATTGAATACCTCTTTTTTTTATGTGTAGCAAGAATATTTAAGGTCTATTCTCTTAGCAAATTTCTAATATACAATATTTTATTAGTCCTTACTATTTGTACTGCACATTACCAGGTCTCCTGAGCATATTCATCTTAGAATTGGAAATTTTGACCCTTTGATATTTTATTAAAAATAAGTTATAATTTTGTGTTCTGTACTTGGGGCTTGCAAGTTCTCTCTTCTTCTACATGTAGCCATAAGATGAGACAACTACTTGTGTTATTTGTTGAAGAAAACAAATTATACTTCATTTTTGTAGGAGGGAGACTCGGAGAGTGAGCCATATGATGATGAAGAATTTGAAGGTTATGAAGATAAACCAGATACTACTTCTAGCAAAAATAAAGACCCAATAACAATTGTTGATGTATGTATATAGAATTCTGAACTCCAAACTAACCAACAAAATAACTTGCAGTCAATAATCTCAGAAATACAGTTTCTACCATATGGCTGATGTTGATATGATAGTGTAAATTAGGAAGAAAAAACTCCCCTAAATTAGGCATTAATTTTTTTTTTTAGTCAGTCGTGGAGCTTGAACTCTGGGCCTGGGCACTGTCCCTGAGCTCTTCAGCTCAACGCAAGTGCTCTACCACTTGAGCCACAGCATCCGGCCTTTTCTGTGTATGTGGTGCTGAGGAATCGAATCCAGGACCTCATGCATGCAAGGCAAGCACTCACTTTGCCACTGAGCCACCTTCCCAGCCTCAGCATTAATTCTCATGAAAAACATCCACACCTAGAGAAGCAACTTCAATGTTTTATTCTAGCCCTTCTAGTTTTAATTAATCAGAAATAAGCAGATAACATTGGACATATTTGGGGTGGAACTCAGAATAAGAATATATCAGTTTAATACATAAGACCAAGTATTAACCATATCCAGTGACAGTTATATAAAGTATCCACTTTCAGTTTTCTCATTTTTTTCCTTAGACTCAATCATTCAGCCTCAGCCAGCATTAAATGGGATAATGTTGCTTTTTTAGGTTCCTGCACACCTTCAGAACAGTTGGGAAAGTTATTATCTAGAAATTTTGATGGTGACTGGTCTGCTTGCTTATATCATGAACTACATCATTGGAAAGAATAAAAATAGCCGCCTTGCCCAGGCCTGGTTTAACACTCATAGAGAGCTATTGGAGAGCAACTTTACCTTAGTAGGTAAGTTAGGCCAGTATGTGTTCAACTGCCTGGTGGGCAGGTGAATATGTGACAGCTTCCATGAAGTGCTAAAGAGAACTATTTTGTTTTCCTTCAAGGATTCCTTGTTGTTGTTGTTTTTTAGACTTTATATACTGAGTAGATTGCATTTATGTAATAATTACCTCATGTTAATCAATGATAATCCCTGTCCAGAAGTGATTTTGCAAGATAGTAAAGTACTGGTCTCCTAAATATAGGATCATTTGGGGATCAGAACAGAAGAAGGTGTAGTAGATGATTAGGTCCCCAAATTCTCAGTAAGTCACATTAACTGGTTTCACTTCTAGGTGATGATGGAACTAATAAAGAAGCCACAAGTACAGGAAAGTTGAACCAAGAGAATGAGCACATTTATAACCTATGGTGTTCAGGTCGAGTGTGCTGTGAGGGCATGCTTATCCAGTTGAGAGTAAGTAGTCTTCCTTGATTCAATGTATGTCTTCCTTGATTTCTTCCCAGATGTGATTTCTCACCTAAATTCAATGGCTTACCCCTTCCTGTTTGGTTTTAAAATGAAGTCTAAAATACTGATGAAAAGGGCTGGGAAGGTGGCTCAGTGGTAGAGCACTTGCTTTGCATGCCTGAGGCCCTGGGTTCGATTCCTCAGCAACACATAAGCAAAAAGAAAAAAGCCAGAAGTGGCGCTGTGGCTCAAGTGATAGAGCGCTAGCCTTGAGCTGAAGAGCTGAGGG